CATAGTGCTATTGCTTTAGCAGAAACTTCAGGAGACGTTCCTAGGCTGGTTATTTAAACATGGGAGGGCACCACAAAGATCACATTGTCTCTAAAGCTATACAAGCCATACAGGGGCATGAACAGCACCCTGTGACGCTGCCAGGGAACCCATGGATCTTAAACAGTTTGCATAGAGTTATATTGAGATGACTGAGGGCAGAAAGATACGGTGATTTCATGTGTCTGACAAATCACTTGGGTCTTACCTCTGTTCAGCTCCATTACTTGAAGCTGTAGGTGTTGAAGCAGCTTCACTAGTGTGGTCCTTGAGTTGGACCCACCACCACTCCTCTGTCTGCACTTCACCGAGTTCAGCTGAGTCAGTGTTAGACTTGGGCTTTTCCAGAGAGGAAAAGATTCATTCTCCACTCCCTTGAGTGCCGTTTCAAGGTGGTCTCTGCTGATAGTAGTGCAGCAGACCAAAAGTCTCACTGAAGAACATTGTGTAGGAGCGTGACTAAAGTAGGTCACTGCCTGAAGGGGCAGACTTCAGGGATAAAATGAATGAAGAAGTTCCAACCCCCTACAGTGGTTGTTTTCAACTAGTTTGCCCACTCAGAAAGGCACAGATCATATCTGGTCCACCCTCTCTTGCTCTGTCCTCATCACACTTTTTTTCCATGTGAAGGCTGAGTTATCAACCTTGTCGTAGGATCTGGAGCACAGTCATACACAACCCATGGGCAACATCTCAGCGTGATCTTAAGTCTCTGAGAAAACCTTGTTGGTTTGTCGTTAGTTTGTGTGGGGACTTTGCCATACTCTAAATCCTTGCACCTCCTTTCTGTTACCATTTACTCCCTCAATATGTTGCTATTCCACCTTCACACTTGTGGAGGTGCAGGTGTCATCTTCAGGAGTAAAAAAACACATAACTGGAAGGGGAAGGAAAAAGGTTTAATTATCAACTAGAAGAAAGGGAAAAATATTGCAAATAACCTGTTGCCAAAGTGGTTTAACACTGCCACATTTAAACAGACTGTATCAGGAAAAAAACCCGCAACCAGTTCTTATTTACAACATCTCAAGGATGTCAAGTAAGTTGTTGAGTATCTCTGTGCATGTGCAAAGTGTCACTGGACCAACAAAAATCAGTGAAAGACCAAACCTCCACTCCCTAAAATTGGCTGAAAATTCTCCACTGCTGGGAAACATTCAAATGCCAGTACTCTTTCCACTCTCCTGCAACATCAACATAACCAAAACAACTCTGCTTTTTGTCCAAAGAGCTGCCAAGAACAGGAAAATAGCACAATTAAAAAAAAAAAAAAAAAGTCTGTGTTTCCAAAAGCACTTTTGTACATCTTCTAAAACAAAAGGCTATGCCTGAATATGTGCAGTGATAACACCGACACAAATCATTTCATGTCCTGATTTTGCTACACAGAAATCAGAAAACTACTGTGCAGCTGGTGGAGCAGCAATCAAGCTGTTGCACAACTCAATATGCAGATCAGGCCTGAGGAAGTTCTGCTGGGATCCTCTTTGTCCTCTGCTTTTCAAGTGTGATTGAAATCTGTTTTCTCAGATTAGGAATTTGGAGAGAGGTTTTATGTTACGCTTCTGAATAATTTTGAATGCTGCATGACAGTCATGTGTTCTCAGAGTTTGGAAATACCAGGTTTTAGCAACTCCTGCTTGGCTGCCTTGAGACTGTTTAAAGCTCACTGTCAAAGCTTTACTCCTCTACTATCTGACTTAAGTGGTTTATTGTCCTCCTGAATCTGTTGACAGTTTCACCTGGTATTCAAGTTTGCTAAAAGCTGCATTTGTTTATTTGTTAAACACAAAGGTCTGAGCCAGGACTGGTGTCCCTGCTCTTTCTGAGCTCTCAAAGGCTGGGCTGTGCTAACTTCAGACTCTGAAGCATTTACATCTCACAGCTGGGATTATCTGGTTTCTAGCAAGGTGCAAGTTCCACCCAAATTTTTTTTCCCTATTCAGGATGTTTATAATCACTCCTGGAGGCTCTTTCTCTCTGTCAAATCAGATCGACCAATTGACCAACAGATTAAAAAATTATTAAGGGTGGGGAGGAAGGACAGGCACACACGCACACCCACACACAAAGGCTGTGAGCACTCCGCCTTTGTGCTCATATGAGCTTTATTTCCTTGGGAATCCAGCTACTAAAACAGGCAACAGCTGTGACAAGAAATGAGATTTAGCAGCAGAGCAGCATGACTGATGATTTGCAAACCTTTAGGTTCGGGGATTTGCAACACCCCTCCCTATCTTAAACACATAACAGGAACACATCAGGGTGCATGTTTAGGAAAGCATGAATCCAATGGGGCAAGCAGACTTTTTGTAGCTCATCATCATAAGAACTGAAGAGTCATCAAGTGCCCTCTGTGTGGGGAGAGTCTTACAGCATGCATCCATCTCCCTCATGCTCAATCCTGCCACGTCTCTTGTGAACACTCACACTAAATCCCTAGCAGAGGAAACATAATTTTTACCAGGCCTGACTAAACATAGGATGCAAATAACCTGGGTTCGGGAATTTGCCTCCCCTGTGGCAGCGCCTACATTTGCTGCTTCTCAAACACCTTCTCCAGGTGTCAGGTGGCTTCACTATCAGATCTTTTCAGTGCACAGTCAGTGTCTCCTGTTTCCAGGTCCCGCCTCAGTGTCAGCTGGCATCCTCCCTGGCCTCCTTCACCTGGCACACTGCCTGGCTGGGCACTAAGGGGAGTATCCTGGCACTTGGTGCAGCGCTGTGGATGTGCTCCCGATCCACCTTGCGCGGAAGGAAAGCACCTTGGCCCCGACATGCCAGGAAGGAAAGGGGCAGTAAGGACAGGCAATATGGAGCGGACACAGCCTTAAGCTGTGCCAGGGGAGGTTTAAGTCGGACGTCAGGAGGAATTTCTTCACAGAAAGAGCGATTAGACATTGGAATGGGCAGCCCAGGGAGATGGTGGAGTCACCGTCCCTGGAAGTGTTTAAGGAAAGACTGGATGCGGCATGGAGTGCCATGGTCAATAGGTGGCATAGTGGTGTTCAGTCACAGGTTGGAACCGATGATCCCTGAGGTCTTTCCCAACCTAACCGATTCTGTGACAGCACCGTGCTTGGTCCCGATGTGCCAGGACAGAAAGGGGCAGTGAGGAGACAAGAGACGGGTTAGGGGAGGGCGACGTGACAGCCGTTTTGTGCGAGTCCGGGACGAGCAATGTCGTTAGGTTTGGCGGATCCAAGGCGAGGAATCCCGACGCGCCGGTGCCGGGACACACGGGAAGCGATGCGAAGGCAGCCCATCCCTCCCGTGCCCCGCTCCCGCAGCGCCGCCGCCTGCCCGGCACTACATCTCCCGTCGTGCCGCGGGCGCCGAGGCCCTACGGCGGGGTCGGGCAGTAGCTGCCCGCGGAGTCGCCTGCTCGGAAGCACGGCCCGCTCTCGGCGCTACCCCAATTTCGCGGTCAGCGACGCCCGAATCCCTCCCCCGCGCCGCCACTGCTCCTGCACCGCGCCTCTCTCGCCACGGCCGGCGGGCCGGCAGCCTGCGGCTCTGTGTCGTCTTGCCGTCAGGCACCCGCGCGGCGCCCCGCCGCGGAGCGGGGGCGGCGGGCGGGTGTGTGGGCCCCGTGGGCGCGCGGGGCGGCGGCGGGTTGCCGGGGGGACGCGGCGGCGGCTCCGCGATGAGCGGCAAGGAAGGTGATGTGCCTGCCCTCCCTGCCCTCCCCTCCCGCCCGCGGGAGACCGAGGCGCGGGGAGCTGGAGCCGGCGGAAGCGGGGGGAGGCCCCGCGGCTCGGCCGGGACGGAGGTGCGGAGCCTCCGCCGTGCTCGACGGTGCCCTTCGGCCGCGTCGCTGAACTGACACTGAGGGAGGCCGCTCCTTCACGGGTGTCCCCGATCGTTCCTTCTCGGGTGTCCTGCCTTCCCGCCGGGGTTGTGCCAGAGAACGGGGCTGTAGGGGTTTGCGTCCTTGGGGGTGAAAAAGCCGTTGTTCAGCGGGAAGCTGAGTGTGTTAGGCCTGTAAAGCACTTGGGGTAGCTGTGTTTCAGAAGAGTGTATATATCTATCTGTGTATGTGTATATATATATATGTATACACGTTTCGCAGCTCAGTTTGCAGCCTGTGTGTTGGTTTAGCCCCAGCAGTCACAGAATGAATCGCAGAACGGGTCAGGTTGTAAGGGACCACAGTGGGTCGTCTGGTCCAACCGCCCTGCTCAAGCAGGGTCATCCTAGAGCACGTGGCACAGGCTTGTGTCCAGAGGGTTCTGGAATATCTCCAGTGAGGGAGCTTCCACATCCTCACTGGGCAGGTTGTTCCGGGACATGATCACTTCGCAGTAAAGAAGTTCTTCCTCATGTCCAGGAAGACGCTGTGCACTTCCTGTGCATCAGTTTCTGTCCATTGCCTCTTATTGCTTGGCAACACCGAGAGTCCCACAGACCCCCCTTCAGCCAGGCAGTAGGGTCAGCAACAAGAAAGCTGGCTCTTTTATTTTCATTTTAATTTTTTTTCAAATCGAGGTTAAGTTACTGTTGGTTTAGCCCATGTTTTTTTTGATATTCAGGTTGTTGGTTATTCAGAGGAACCCCTTTTCCCTACTTGTCTTTCTTCCTTCTCCTCTCACTTCTGAAGGGCCTGTTTTTTTTTCCTGTAGGTCATGATGATGTTCCCAACTTTTGGTATACTGCAGAGAGTTTAACTCTGCACTATTTTAGGGGACGTATTTGTAATGTTTTCAACTGCTACAGGACAAACAAAACCCTGAACTCATGTCCTAACGGAGAAGAAGGAAAAAATGATGTTCAGTTTCCTCTTTTAGAAAGTAGCTACGCCCACTTCTGGTTTTGGTTTGGGATAATAAACAATTAAGCGGAAACATTTTAAAATCCAGTGTTCTTCTGTAACTTTTAAGTAGCTTCCTTTTGTTCTTCTTTTAAGGAAATTGAGAGAACTCTGCATATTCAAAAAGGTATGCCTGTATGCCAGTTTGCCAAGTGTTGGCCTCTGTTAGGAAGACAGAGTGTCCAGCTGGCACCAAAAGGAGGGAGCAGGAGGGAGGAGAGGTTGGCACGTGGGTGACACAATGAGTCAGTCCAAGGTGAAGGAAGGACAAAAGGAAGAAACACTACAAGGTGTAAATCAGACGTAAAACAGTTCAAAAGAGATGAGTTCTGGGTGTGGGTTTCAAAAGGGAGCCTAGGGAAGAGGCACACAAAGCTAGTTCAAGGGCTACATCAGGGTGAGTAGAGGAGAAACTGGTGAATGGGCAGAGGGTAAAGACCAAAGAAGCTGCAGTGCAGGAGCTGAACCCGCATACCTGAATAGTGGTAATCTATTTAAATTACGCCTTGCTTCTTTTTCTGGTTACTGAAGATGTGTAACATAAATAATTACAGTAATCAAAACTTGCAGGATATTGACTCCTTTCAAGATGAAGAAAAAAAAGGAAGGGAAAAAAAAAAAGTCTAATCCTGAAGACCCGTGTTCACAGAAGGATTTCCATGCAACCATTCCCTTACAGAAAGAAAACATAAAAGGTTTTCAAGACCTTACCAAAAAAAACCATAAAAAGGACTTAGGATCTTGCCACATGCATCCATTGAAATTGGTAGGATTGGTTTTTTTCTAATTTTCACTAGGAACGTAGTAGAAAAAGTGACATGATAATGTGAGGCTGGCATCAGTCAATAATAATCATCCAGTTACCTTATTCTGTTCTGTAAAATATGGCTACAGTCAGGAATGCTCTGAAGACAGCATTCTGATGCTGATTGTACTCTGGCAAAACTATTTCTAAATGTATTTTGTTGTGTGTATCTTCTATTTATAGGATCGGGTGGGTTCAGAAAACGCAAGCATGACAATTTTCCACATGGTCAAAGAAGAGAGGAGAAAGAGAATGTTAATCCATCTTCAGCTTTGATGACGTCTTTTAAATGTAAGTAAGCATTTGAAAAATATTATAAAAATGGGGTGTAGAAATTGCTAGGAAATTTAGTGATGGAATAAAACATCTCTCTCTGAGGGAGACACTTGGAACTTGTTGGACTTATGGTCCTTACCTTTAGAGCTTAGTGTTCTGCTTTTTGTGCGGTGAAGTCCTGAGAGCAGGAATTGTCATAGCTCCTCAAAGCAAGATTCATGACTTGCTCCTGTTTCCATCCCACCTGCTGTTCCCCCTCCCCACCCTCCTTGTGCTGAACCTGATGCTGAGCAAAGTGCACAAGTGGTCAGCCAGGCAAAAGGTGAGTGGGCCCTTTGGGGCCAGAAAGCTGTAGGATCTGCAGAGGTGTAAAGCAAAATCTGAGCCACGAGGGACAAGAGGAGGAGATGGTGACCTTTGGGAAACTGAGGAGGCTGCTGACCTTGGCTCTGCTGCATAGATGGTGAAGCTGCTTTTATGTAAATATGGATGCATTGTTTTATGACTTGGTACCTGTTTATGCCTGCACTTTTAAAAAAAAAAATTTAAGCAATATAGACCTGTATATAGACACCTACTTCAGTTTGAGTGCCTTTAAAAATTAATTTATATTTGATTTTCTTTAAATAAGGAAGTGTAACTTCCCTTTAGCAAAATTGTTTTCATAGGATTTTTCAGAAAACCAGATTTGAACTCCAGTAAATTTAAATTTCTCATAAGACTAGCCCTGACAAGGTAAAGTTGAGCTTCAGAAATGACAAACTTTGGCAGAAGAACGAAGGAGATTTGTTATGGGGAACAGATTAATTCTTGGCTTAAAGTTTTCCCCATTCCACCTTTTTTTTCTTATGAAGCTAAGGAGAGTGAAAAAATACAAGCTGTCTAGGTGTTACAGATGGTCACTTCAATGTCATATAATTTCCTTGCTTTTTTGAAAACAGGTATTTAGATTTTTCTGTGTAAGTCAGCTTGGCAGATGATTAACTGTGACCCCTGAACTTTGCTCAGGGAAGCTGTGGATGTCCCATCCATGGAAGTGTTCAAGGCCAGGTTGGATGAGGACTTTGAGCAACCTGGTCAAATGGAAAGACTCCCTGCCCATGGTGGTGGGTGTTGGAAGTAGATGGTGTTTAAGGTTCCCTGCAACCAAGCTGCTCTGTCATTCATATTGAATATCATACCTACACTGGTTTCCTTCCTTTTCTGTGAGATCCAGTCAGCAGTATTGGGTTAATTTCGGAAAGGATTTAAAGGACACAGTTTATTCAGCTTTGTGAAGATCCACTCTTTGTACTGTGCCAGTGTTTATAAGTCCCAGACAGAGACACTGGTGGTCTTTGCCTCTGTGTCAGGCACAAGCATTAGGAAAAGGTATGCTCCAGATGGTTTACAATTAAGCAAACTGCATAAGGTGAACCAGAGTTGTGCACTATTTCTGTGTATGTTGTCTGAATCTAAACAACTTAATCATAAAATCATAGAACCATAGAATATACTGAATTGGAAGGGACCCATCAGGATCATCGAGTCAAACTCCTGACCCTGTGCAGGACACCCCAAGAGTCACACCATGTGCCTGAAAGTGTTGTCCAAACGCATCTTGAACTCTGTCAGGCTTAGTGCTGCGACCACTTCCCTTGGTAACCTGTTCCAGTACTCAGCCACTTTCTGGGTGAAAAACCTTTTCCTAATATCTAACCTAAACCTCTTCTGGCTCAGCTTCATGCTGTTCCTTTGGATCCTATCCCTGGTCATGAGAGTGAAGAGATCAGTACCTGCCCCTCTGCTTCTCCTTGTGAGGAAACTGTAGACTGCAATGAGGTCTCCCCTCAGTCTCCTCCAGGCTGAACAGACCAAGTGACCTCAGGCACTCCTCGTACGGCTTCCCCTCAAGGCCCTTCACCACCTTTGTTGCCCTCCTTTGGACACTCTCCAATAGCTTTATATCTTTCTTCCATTGTGGTGCCCAAAACTGCACACAATATTCAAGGTGAGGCCTCACCAGTGCAGAGCAGAGTGGGACAATCCCCTCCCTTGACCAGCCAGTGATGCTTTGCCTGATGCCCCCCAGGACACGGTTGGCCCTCCTGGCTGCCAGGGCACTGCTGGCTCATATTCAACTTGACATCCATAAGGACCCCCAGGTCCCTTTCCTGGCACTGCTCTCCAACCTCTCATTCCCCAGTGTAGACACACAACCAGGGTTGCCCCATTAATGTGTGGCCTTAAACAGTTTTACATGTTTTGCTCTTTTTATTCTCTGAAAAAAGTTGTACTTGAATTGATCTGTTAGCACCAAAGATTTCTAAAAAAATAATGAGAAATTGTCTTCTGTAGTAATTACAGAGTCACAGAATGGTTTAGTTAATAAAAAACCAAGGAGTTACACCTTTTTTTTGGTAATACGTTTTAAATATGACAGCTCAGTGATACAGAGAGTGGATAGTACCTTGGCTTGTAAGGTTAAGATTTACTGAAGTGTCTTTTTAATGGTCTGATTCTGCATGACCAAAACTGTTGGTGGAGTCTGAGTCTTTGCTTTCACTGATAGATTACACATTATAGTGGAATGTGTGGAGGAAATGGCTGTGTGATCTTGATGTGTTAGGCTGGAGAACCCTCCTGAATTCTAATCCTTCACAATTTTAGGCAGTAGCACAGTTACAGTAGGTTTTCTTTCATCCTGTTAGGCTAGAGATTACCGTATGTATCTATTTTACTTCAGGTCAGAAAGCACTTCCTAGTAGTTCCTAACAGGTTTAAAATCCACCATAAAAGTCTAAAAGCCACAGCTGTCCAGAAAAGGTTGGGAGCAATTGCTAATATTGTAGATCTTCAGAACAGTGAATTTCCTGGTAGATGACATTTGTAAATGGTTGTGGGAAATGTCATATATGGTATCCTTTGAAGGGAAGTCCCAGTCACCCTTCTTCAAGTTCCTGTCACTATGATCTGAGGAAAAATTTCTTCTTTATTATAATTCAGGGGTGGAATTGACTTTCAGAATTTGGAAGAGACACACCAAACAGACGTGTAAGAATTAAAGACCTACCTTAGAGCATTTGTGATTTGTCTTAGAGTTTCAGAATAAGATTAGAAAGCACAGAACAAAATAAGAGGAACCAAGTTACCAAATACAGTTATTTCTATAACTTTGTGTAAATGTTGCTTGCCAGTGAACTGCTATACTTTTTTAAAGGATCTTCCCTTGTCAAACTCTTGAAAAATGTAACCTCTTAGTTTATTTTCTGCATTTTCTCCTATGAAGATGTTAACATTTCATTAGGAAATGTGTTAGATTTTTTCTAAGTATCTATTAAGATTTATTTAGTGGAATAGTGACCTATAACGTGTTAATGGAATCTGTGAAACATTCATAATATGTTTGATTGTGATAACCAGGTACACATCCTCTCTTCTTTGTATTCATTGTAGTTGGAGAGAAAAAACATCAGCAAGTCAGAAATCTTTATTTTAAATAATTGATCTCACTTTGCTTTAGTACTTCTAATCTTTAGGGATATTAAAATATTTGACTTTTGGCCAAGTTTAGCTGGGATGTGAAATGCAACATTTCTTATAACTAAATGGTGCCTTTTAAACAGTGTGTGTGCCTTAGTCAGATGCCTTTTATTTCTTTTGTTTTAGAGACTAGTAAATCTTATTTACAAATGATTGTAGGGTTTTATTTTTCAATTTATTTTGCTTGATTTGGGTGAAATCTTAAGTCAGTTTCCTGAACAGTGGTGTTGCGGAATAGATTTTATGAGCAAAAGAAAGTCCTTTTCCTTAAAATTGTTTAGGCTGCCTTAAAGCATCATCAGGATTGATGTCTATTTAAACCTGACTTATTAAACAGAGATATTATTAATGAATTTTGCTGCTGTGGCAGGTGGTAGGCAGTGGTGCCCTGTGCAGCCGTGCCCCACGCATGGGCAGCCACGCTGCCCACCCTGGGGAAAGGCACCCGGGGACAGGGCTGGTGGGGCGGGGGCTGGTAAGCAGTTACTGCAGCACAGGCACTTTGCTCTCCCCACACTGTGTTCATGTGATAACTGTGCTTGTTGCTGTAACGATTGACTCCGCAGCATTCCAGCTGGAGCTTGACACCAGGCATGATAAATATGAACGGCTCGTGAAGCTCAGTCGTGATATAACTATCGAAAGCAAGAGAACGATATTTCTGCTCCACAGGTTTACCAGGTGAGTCACATTGAGTGTGAAAATGTTCATAGAAACCTGGAAGCTGCCATGCAGTGTTGTCTGTGTTTGTGATTAGCAGCTGCAACGTTCTGTTGAGAGAAATTTAATTAATTTCCCATAAACATCCTTTAGGGTGGATGTGAGCTAAGTAATGCACGCTCCAGTTAGAGAAATACAAGATGCCGGTTCAAGTTTCTTGGTTTGTTTTGTTGGGGTATTAAACTAGATCAGAGCAGCAGAATGCACAGCAGATGAGAGCCTTCCAGCTTTTAGCAGGCTGTAAGAGAAGAGTATGCACCCTTTCTTCAGGTTAGTTACCCAGGCTATTAAATCACCTTTTTGGTTCTTGCAGCCCCACCCGGAGGTCATCAATGCAAAGAGGAGGTGACCTGGGGTCCGTTTATGTAAATACTACAACTGGATAGGCTTTTCTGTGAAGTTTTGAGCTTCTATATGTTTTGTGTTCTCATGAGCCTTCAAGCAATCTTTGAAAGCCACAGACAAAACAGAACAACAGGAAAATTTGAAGCTTTGCATAGCCTGTTGTATAAAATGTTTGCCATATATGACCAGCATTGGTCTTGCATGTGATAGTTGCAACCACTCTCCCTGTTCCTTTTTTTGTAATTTAATTTGTTTTTTGTTATCTATCGGTGCATTTGTGCTGAAGTACTATTTATAGTTACCATAGCAGTAACGGTTATAAACAGATTATGAAGTTGCTCTCTTTTTAACTTGATTTTCTTCTGCAAAGAGGTATTGTGATAATTCCAGTAACCACTACAGCCTTGACTGTAAATAGCTACTCCCACTGCTGTGGCTAGGTAGCTGGGAACTTGTGGAGGAAAGAACAACAACAAAAAACTCCTAATTGCTCCAAATTTTAGATTCCTGTTTTGGAAGACATTCCTGGTTTTGTGAGAGTGGAAGCTTTCCATGCTGTATTTTGTATTTCCGTCTCCTTTGTAATTATTGTGACTTTAATCTCATTAAACTTTACTGTTTGCTTTTAAATGTTTTCTTGAGACCAGTCTATCAGTGGTTTGTTAAATAGACTGTAAACTAATATACCATATAGATTATTTGTGGTGGGGCAAGTTTAAAGGATATTTAATAAACTAAGCTTTAAATGCCAAGTATATATTGTGGTTTTGAATCAGATATTTAAGCTGTTCCTGAACAGCATAGTCCATAACTACTTCCTGAAAAAAAAAAACACACATGTAGAAGTACATCATGTATTACATTTTGCAATACTGTCAAGTATTGCAAAATATTGATTTTTTTTTTTTTTTTCCCCTAAAGAGGTTGAAGGACTTCTGTAAATACTGCTAGTTTTCTGGAAAATTTTTTGAAGCCTTGCATGTATGTCTCCTTTATCTTACTTAAGCAATAATGACAATTCCAGTCTGGAATAAATATAATGCTACCAGAACTCTGTTTGGCTGGTTGATTATTTTCCTGGTAAGAATCTACAGAATAGGTATCAATGGAAGTTAAACTGTTTCTCATTCCAGTATCAGCTCTGCTTTTTCTTGAAGCCATTAAAAATATATTGATTAGTAAAAGAAAATGTGTAATTTTTTTAACTGTTAGTTCATGCTCTGAAAACTGCTCTTCCAGTTTCTCTTTTATGATTGCAGTGCTCCCAATGGGGAAGAAATACTAAATGAGTCTGAAGTCAAGCTAGATGCTGTCCGACAGAAGATCAAGCAGGTTGCACAAGAACTGATTGGAGAAGACATGTATCAGTTCCATAGAGCTATATCTCCAGGTAAATTATTTTAAAATAGGGAAAGTGTGCCAGTTTGAACTGCCATCAGTTTCTCTTTGTGTAGCAATGCTTCCTCCTCATGCTGGGAGTCTGAGATTGTTACATTTCTGTGAATATAAATCAGGACTGAGGTTAATCTTTGTTACTAGCGAAGTTAACTCTGGTACTAGGCTGTTGTCCTTCAGTCTTCTTTTCAGTGCAATTTAGAGGAAGATTTAAATAGAAGACTACAACTGGAAGAATTTGGACCCTGACCTAGACTGCAGTTGGAAGTGGTTCTAACGAATGTAGTGGCTAGTTTTCTCTGACTGAGAGGAGTATGTGTAGCACTCTCAGTTACCACACCTGAAGGGTTATAATTTCTGGGAAGAGAGTAGAAGCAACTATCTTGTGAAATTATCTATTTTGAGTTGATAAAAGTCATTAATTAAAATCCTTAAATTAGCATTTTCTTTTTTCTTAAGACTCAGAATGTGTTTCTGCCTGTCTGTTACAAGCATTGAATCAGTTTACGTTTCAAATCACATCTTTTTCTGCTCCTCTCTGTAAACAGCAGTCTTTACCAACATTCTTGAGATACTAGGTTGCAGTGCTTTCATGCCTCTTTCTGTCAAATCATATTTCTTTGCTGAATCTTTGCTGACAATTTGGGTCTTACCTAAAATTGGTATGCCTTGTTTGTGGCAACATATGAGTAAAATATGTAACTGCTTCTTTGACATCTTGGTCATGGCGTAAAAGAGTTTATTGATCTCAGATTTAACATATTTGGAATTGTGTATATTTTTCCTTGTTTAGGCAAGACTTTTTCAGTTGAGTAGAGCTGAAGATTTGCCCTGAATTATTTAGTTGTTTAAAAATGTCCATAAGGTTGATTTGATAAACCAGAAGCAAAGTTATTTACATGTACCAAAGTTATTTACAAGACAAACAGTGCACAGGTTAACTTGTGCTCATGTCTTACACAAATTTAAGTTTGTTAAGAGTGAGACAGCTCTTGAGTGAAAGCTCAGTTTAGCAATACGGAACCAGGAGCTTGCTGTGATAGTCTTCAATGGCTCTAATTAATTCCACTGTCCTCTTACCTGTGATGCATTGGGTTGTTCAAATTAAATACAAGTAGTTTTTCTTAAAGAGCCACCTAATCTGTGGGTGTCTTGCTGCTATTTATAGCTAAGTACTGCAATGACACAATGAAAAGAAAGAGGTAATTCGAAATGCTGACACTACGGATGATCTCAAACTGTGAACAATACTAGTCCAAGTATATTATGAGTGTATTGACATGCTGAAAATATGTTTTGATTTTCATTTTAAGTACTACTTATAAAAGCCAAGAATCCTTGCTTCCAGTTTTATGAACAAAAGTTTCTGAAAGCTTCATTGAGACTTACAGACCTTGTCTGAATAACTCCTGAAGTTTGTAATCCCGTGTGAGTCACACAATGCTGTCTATGGAACAGCAGTGTTTGAGGACTGCTACCTCACAGGTCTTTGTGAGACTGCATGGTGCAAGCTATCAGCCATGCCATGTGAGCAAGATTCTTACAGCTGCCTCTTCATCAGCTGCCTCACCTGAACTGTCTATTTTTTTTCATATGTGTCTTTTGTGGGTAAATTCAAAGAGGCTTACCACCTCTAGTTTTTACTGAGGAACAGCTTGCCTGGAATTAGCTTACATTCATCTCAGACGTACTAGAGTGCACCTACATAGCAGACGTACGGAAACTTACTGCATGATAACTTCTGAGTGTACCCATGTTCTTATAAAACAAGTAAGCAAACCTGATGCTGGTTTTCTACTTCCAGATTCTCACCTCTGAGTAAAAAAAAATTACTGATTTTTTTCTTAAAAAATACATTTTTTTCAAACTTCGAAAGTTAGATTTCAAGTTTTTTATATGAAAGATACGTAAAATTAAGCTAGGCATAGCAACTCAAAAATAAAGAAATTGATCAAAAAAAGAACTTTTTTCCATTGTAAATCTCAGCCTCTTAAAATGACTAAGATCTATTTGTCCACTGTAGAGCAGGATGAATTACTGTAGGGGAGGTTAGTAGTAGAAGTCAGTCGTAGAGGAAGTTAGAGACCTGCAGCATGTGTATGGTGACTCAGTGCCTCCACAACTGCAAAACTTTTATAATATAGAATACACAAATTCAGATGTAAGGGACCTACGATGATCATCCAGTCCAACTGCCCAACCACTTCAGGATGACCAAAAGTTAAAGCGTTGTTAAGGGCATTGTCCAAATGCTCCCTGTAAACACTGACAGGCTTGGGGTATCGACCACCTCTCTAGGAAGCCTGTTCCTGTATTTGACCTCCCTTGGTAAATAATTGCCCCTGACAGATGCAGCAGAGCCATTCCCACATATATCCCATTATCACTGGATACCAGGGAGAGAAGATCACCACCACTCTCTCCACTTCCCCTCCTCAGGAAGCAGTAGAGAGCAATGAGGTTGCTCCTCATCTTTGTCTTTTCCAAACTAGACAAGTCCGAAGTCCCTAACTGCTCCTCACAGAACATTCCCTCCAACCCTTTCACCAGCTTTGCTGCCATCCTCTGGATGCCTTCAGGGACCTTCACATCCTTCCTAAATTGTGAGACCTAGAACTGCACACAGTTACATATACAGTAGCACATCCCTAACGCTTGCATCGACTTGGAGTGAGATTGTCATAGTATTAAAGAATTTTCTGACTACAGTATTAAGAAAATTTAAGAGAATGAATCTTACTGACCTTTCTAGATAAAAAGGAAGGAAGGCAAAAAGGTATTAGTGTGCTAAATAGTAAGGGGAAGAAGAAGTAGACTCTCCTGTCCATCTTTCCAGGAATCGGGGGTGCAGTCTCTCAAATACCTGAACTTTGCAGGTTTTTTTGGACAGAACTAAAAGATAGAAATAAAAAGCCTAAAAGGTAGAAAACCCCCATTGCATATCTGGATTTAGAATGCAAAATGGCTGTACTTCTACTTTTTTCCTCTTTTAAGGTGACATAAGTGGCAAGTCTGTGGACTGTCATAAGTTGTATAATGCTGATTGGCCCTGAGATCTCCCTGTTGTTTCTGTAATTAGGTATTTGCGCCTCATTAAGAAGACTGTTTATAAAATCCAGCTGAAATAAGTTGCCTTCATTCTATTTCTGTAGGTCATCTACTTAAAGTCTAGCTCTTCTACATATGCTCCTCACTGACAGAAATCTGTGCCTGCTGGTGCCCATGTTTTGTAAGGACATGCATTAGAATATAGGTGTGTGTCACTGAGAAAACAGGGAATGCTTTTAGGCATTGTGTAAATGAGCCTGGGTGTATAACAAGTACGAAATGCTAACTTTTAGGCAGACCTTTACTCTTACCTTATTCATTAAACCTTCTGCTCTCCAGTTAGTCCTCGGGATGGCAGGAGAAGGTACATGCAGCGTTAAAGACTTGTAGATCTTGGTTGTGCCGAAGCTAGGATCTGGGAGGTGTCAGAGATGTGAAGGTGCTTGATGTCAGGATTATGAAGCTGAGATAGAAGATGTAGAAACCTGAAGAATGAGGGGACAGTTAGATGAAGAGCAACTGTGAGAGGGAATGCTTTATTGCCCATGCCCACCACCGTTTATGAAGAACAGTAATTGGGAGAGAAACAGTGATAAGAACTAGGAATATTGCTTTTAGTTTTGGTTTTAAGTCTAATGTTCTTTAATTGTTGCTTTGCTTTTTTTTCAGTGGCAAAAGCTTGTATACCTTTTTGAAAATAAATGTAGCTAAGAAAAGTGTTAGATCTCTTATTTTCTTAAAGCTGTAAGTCTTGACATTCTTTTAACCTTTTTTTCAATTCTGATTTTGTATTTTAAAGATATTCTGGAGAACTAGTTAAAAAGATTTTTATGAACAAAAACATTGCCATTAAACCGCCTTTTTCTTCAAAAAAGAATAAAGAAACGCCTATGTCCCATATCTCAAAAGCAGCATGTCTAATTAACCTCAAACTTCCTAAAAATATTCTCCTTTGTCTTGAAACCAAACATGAAACATCCTCCTGTTCCCCACCCTACCTCTCACAGAAGGAGTAAGAGGGTTCAAAACGGGGCTTATAATGGAAACCGCTGTAGCTGCCTTAACTGGGGAATCACGACTGTCTGCATGATAAAGCTGCCTAATACATATTTTATTCAGTATAATAACTGTTAGCCTATAAATAGAAGAGTGCTATGAGTATAATGCTTGGGAATATTGTTTGCCACTTGTAATTGTTAAATGCTTTTTTTGGGGTTACTCCAAGCAGTTGTTCTTTTGACTTGAAGATAAAACAATTCTGGCAGAGCACTAAAGGAGTTTCATGCTTTCCCTCATTAAGAATAGTGCTAATGGCACGCAGGACGTTTCCCCAAAGGACACTTGCATGAGCTCAAACACTGAGTATAGCACTAATTGAACAACAACAAAAACTGATGACTGTTTTCTACACGTTTCTTAACAGTACAGATTGTCCCAGGGGATGATTAAACAAGCAAACAAAGAGATACTGAAATAATGAAGGCTTTTTTTAATGCAGAGCTCTTCATTTGTTATGTTAGAGTGTTCTCCTTTGTTGATATTTTTAAAGCTTTACTATTTGTAATATAGAATTCCTGCTCCTTTGCCCCACTTTGCAGTGTATACCTTATATATCCTGTGAGGAAATGTGTACTGTTTCTTTAAAATTATTGAGAGACACTATGCAAGAAAATACCTGGAAAAGATTGTATGAATTTATGAAAGGGAGGAAGAAATTTTTCAGGATTTTTTATTTGTATATGTGTTTAAGCATTTAGCTATACATAATTAACTCTCAGTTGCTAAGGGAAATATCAACAGTATACTGGACAGATCTGTATGAGACCTAAAGACAAGAAAGAAATGCTCTTGCAACATGTGTAGGGTCCTGTACTTGGGTCACAACAACCCCCATGCAGTGTTATAGGCTGGGGGAAGAGTGGCTGGAAAGCTGCCTGGAGGAAAAGG